TACTCAGAGAAATGGAAACTTGAACTTCTATAAGTTGTGAAGAACAGCTACTAATGGACTCTTTAGTGCAGTTTTATCAGTTCGTACACATCCTTGAAAATCCTCTTTTGGGTCCATTAGGGTAAAAGAAGCACACAAACTGGAACTATAGTGTAACCTCCACTGAAGGTAATAAAACAGGACGCAGAAAACCGCAGACACACTCCTCCACCCAGACTGCCTGGATTCAGTTTCATTGGCAGACAGATGCTATGAGAATCTTAAGGCTTCCTCCGGCACTAATTTTACAATCAACACATGACACAATAGAAAGTAACTGAATTTCATTCTGTCTGTCTGGAAGAAGAGAAGAATTTAGGCAGTGTAAACCTGTAATGCATAGTGTGTATGATATACGAGACGCTGCTGATTTAATCAGTGACCTCCACAGTGATTCACCTTTTAATTCACTCTGACAAATCCAGTGTTATTACATGTAGCTGATGTAAAAAGCACAGCCATATTACTTCTGGAGAGATGTTTTTCTTTCTTTTTTAGCCATATAGTTTGTCTCCATCCCCGACCCCCATCCCCACCCTCCTGTACTTTCCACAGAAATAAAATCAAAAGTAAACTAAACAACAACAAACTATCCCTTGTTTGTCTGAGGTCTGTGTAGCCATACTAACTAAAAGCTTTTGACTTCTTGGACTCGAATGAAGCACTATTAATAAGTTGGCTTCTGCAGCAGAACAGCCTGTCCTCTTATAGTCCATTATTAGTCCCAGTGCTCAAACGAAATAACAAACAAACCCTTAGCGGCATCTCTCGTCAGTTTTACTGAAAAAAAACAAAACAAAAAAAAAACAAGCAGGAATTGGTCAAAGAGTTTTAAGGGATGCTAAATTGATGTCAAATGCTGTTTTTCTACCTTAAGAGACAAAGTGCCTTAAAAATTGCCTCATAGACAAACGCACTCATAGAGGCGCACTAGCATGATGTGTAACGTGCTATTTTAGCTCTGGTAACTGAAGCTCACCAACTTTGGACTAAAGCAAAGACTATACATCAAAGATGGAGACTGGTTCTACCTGTTTTGAATCTCATTTTGAAGCCTCACGCTGAGCATTCACCATTGGTTTTTACAAGGCATCTTGTTACTGTAATCACATTACATTTTCAGTAAGACTGTAATGCAACTCTTTACTGTACTAAATCCAGTAATTACTTTACAGTTACAATTATGTCATTACTTACGTTCTTCAGTTACACGTCGGCAAATAGAAAGATAAAAACATCAACCAAACATACTTTTTTTTTTCTTCCTTCACTTTTGCGCTACAATCGGCTTATTTTAGCTAATTTGGTGGAATGGTAAACAGTTGGGATACTTTTTTTCGCTGCACAAAAAGCAGAGAATACGGTAAATTGTGAACTGCATTCAGGACAGAAACAATCGCACAAACAAATTTGTGTGCCCAGAACCCAGATAAACCTGTGTGAATGCCGACTCCAGCCCAGCAGAGACACCCTGATCTTCAACAGGACATGGATCCATTTAGAAGTAGGATCAGTTTTCTTTTAATTTCTTTACAATTAGATTTGGCTGAGCCTGGTTCTGCCAGAGGTCTCATCATGCTGAAAAAGCGTTCTTCCTTCTTTTTAATATGTTCGACACTTCCTAACTCTCTCACTCTTGAAGTAGTAACACATATTTATGGTTTAACCAGACTGCATTTTGTTAGCGCCATGATCTTGAAGTTAAATTTCCAGCTTCAGTTTGCCCGTAATATTGTTACAGGGCAGTTGTGTCTCGTCATTTGTGTTCACAATTAAAGATTGTTAACTTTTCAACTTCCAGGTGGTTTCCTTGTGGTTTACACTTCTGAAAGACTTTTCTGACACCCATTTAAAATAAAACGTGAAAACACCCCCTGGTGGCCGCTGGTTCAGTCTGTTTCCCGGTATTGATGGGAAAACCCATAACAATGTGACTTTTCCTCTGAAGAAAGATGTACATTTAAACTCCTACACTGCTGTTACTCTAAACGTCATCTGTATTCTCCACATGCACATGTGGCATTGAATACAGCTGTAATTGCCATGTATGGTTTGCTTTAGAGTGCTCTTTGCTTTCCATTTTAAATCTCCCTCCTCATCTTTAATATCTAACCCACCACTTCCTCCTCCTTCTGTGAATGTTATCCATCATTGCTGGAAAACATATTTCATGTGTCCTTGCAGCTCTCAGCCCTCAGACTTTTCATTTCCATTTCCATGCGTCCAGCTGCCCTCTGGGGAAGGACCTTGTCATCTTTTAAAGCCGGCGTGGAGGACAGCACGCAAACCCACGTACTTAGCGGTGGACACGGATTCACACCACGAGGCTGTTTCACCTATTTCGCCACTTTTATCACACTGCTTTCATGATTTCTGCTTTGACCTTTCTTTTTCAAGACCAGCCACACCATTTGCATTTAGATATTCAGAATATACGACTGAACTGTACCATCAACAGTGAATAAATCTGGGCTTAGATGGATTTCTATTTCATCTCCAGCTTCCAGTGAATTCTGCAAGTTTTGCCTCTTTATTTCTGATCATTCTGAATTTTTTTTAATTTCATTTTATGACTGGTGCTCTAAATGAAAAGTTATATTCCCTTGGTTAATATTAAACAAAATTAGAGAGGAAAAACTACAAACAAACCCTTGTCAAATACAAAGTTAAAGACATCATATCCTCTTAAACAATCCAGTGATTCATAAGCCAATTATGAATGTCAATTTCTTCCTTTTTTCTGTACTATTCTTTGAAAAGGTGAATTCTTTTTCACTTGTTTTCTTCCAGATCTTATGGTTGCTTTTGACGGGTTTGCAGGGTTTTGTACCAACGAGCATTACACATCTCCTCAACTTGTAACAAACATGTTAAAAGCCATTTTCCCCCCTCATCGGTCTTGTGCAATATCAATTTCGGTTGGGTTGAACTTACCTTAACTCACAGCATTCGCCGCAATCAGTGGAAAAAAACAGCTACAGGATGAAAGGTGCATTGCTGGACATTTTATCCCAGACCTTCCAGGATAGGAGAGATTGTTTATCAGAGAGTTTTATGTTATCCTGTTATCAATTAGAGTTACCTTGGTTAGTGCAAGTTTGTACTGCTACACATGCCCTTCATCCATTTCCATTGTAATGCTCAGGATGCACTGATGGTAAAACGACTCGGGATGCAGTTTAGAATACAACACTGGAAATATTAAAGTAATTAATGTGAACAGGTGACATGCCTTAAGAAAGACACAACAGAGACCTTGCTGCACTCTCAGGAAACACAAAAATGGACAGAAGAGCAAATCAGGGCCTGTGTGTGCTCACTCAGCAGGAAAACTGCTGAAATGAATTTAAAGTCCTGCACAATTAATAGAAATCAGAAAAGGCTCCTTTAGAGTCTCACTGTATTATTGCAGTGGTTTAGCCCCCTCTTCCTCTATTTCTCAGATTACATGTTAAGTGAACGGTTTAGTTGTAGTCTGAGGTCTCATGAGTTTGTTGCATTTATGTTCCATCAGTTTGTAAAGAGGTCTGAAAGAAGGCGTCTTCATGTAGTACATTACAGAAAGACCTGAGGCTCTCTCACTTGATTTCATGTGCAGATTTTAACTCTTTAAAGTCTGAACCATGAAATAATTGCCAGAAAATCCAGATTTCTTGGAAATTAAGTGTTTAGTGAATCCTCTGACGAAATTAAACAAAAACACTATAATGAAAAAGATTATTGATGTTGTGGTGGACCACTGGAGGGCTACACTCACACCCAGTTCTCAGGAAGTGTTGTTGCTGTGTTTTGGAGGGAAAAGTATTCAGTTGTGTGGTGATGAGTAATAAACGAGGAGTGTTAATCGAGAGCTCTTGTGTCGTCTGTGTTTATCTCCACATTGGTGACCCCTGACTCGAACATGCTGCAGTCCGATGGTGGCACCGACTCCGCTCTGGATGCATCAGCAGCCGCCAGCCCTCTGCTTCCGGCTGCAGCTGCGTTTGCTGTGGCGCTCGAGCTGCTGGACTTTTGGCTTCACGATCCCCCGTCGTGGTTCGTGCACGTGGAGGCTCAGTTCGTTCTTCGTGGCATCTCGGCTGACGACACGAAATATCACCATGTGGTGGCCTCTCTCGACTCGCTAGCCACCCGTCGTGCGTTGACTCTCCTCCGGGACCCACCCACCCGAGGGAAGTACGCCGCCCTTAAGGAGCTGCTTCTTCGGCGCTATGCCCTCTCCGACGCAGAGTGAGCCGAGAAGCTCCTCTCCCTCTCAGGCCTTGGTGGCGGTACGGCTCTCGAACTGATGAGCACATGCTATCCTTTCTCGGACCGGACGACGGAGGATTCCTCTTCGCACACATCTTCCTCCGACAGCTACCGGCGGCCGTGAGAGCCGGCCTCGCCAACTCTCCGCTTCTGGGCACGAAGGATTATCGCTCCCTGGCTGAGGACGCGGATCATATGCTCTTGGCTACCCGCACTTTCCACAATCACGACCTAGTTCCAGCCTCGCCGGCGGCGCCTTCCACTTCCCTGCTGACCTTCCCCGACGTATCCGATCCTTCGCTGACGGCAAAGATCGCGGCACAACGACACCGCGGATGGGACCTCTGTTTCTACTGTGGCGAGACGAGGATGGGATATAAAGTAAATACTCTTTGCAGTTTTAAAAAGACAACGCCACCCTGGGAATTTCACCCAGAGAATACTGAAAGTAACACTAAATCGCCAAAAAGGCACTTAGGTTCGCTATACTCAGTCCAGAGATGAGGTTCAAATGATCAACAAATTCACAATTTATTAATAATTATTTAAAAGACCATATAAAAGCACAATCATAAATATTCAAATACAAATATGCTTAAAAAGGTATTCAGAGCTGAGGCTTACCAGTGGAGGGGCAGGGATGCCACACACAAACAGAAAGAAAACACACCCAAAACACAAGTGCAGCACACTATCACACACACTCACACTAATAAACTAAACAAGGCAGGTGTGTACACTCAAGGGATCCCACCACCAAGGCACCCTAGTCTCCTCCACGTCGGCACTCCGCACCTGAATAAAAGAAACAAAGAAAATTTAATATATTACAACCAACTAATGTGTAGCACCGGGGGATAACCCAACTGCAAGACCACACTGGTGATCTGCAGCTAGAAAAAGGGCCTCCCACCAGTGATGTAACAAAAATCCAAACTACAAATCAAAAGCAATAAAACAACATACAATCTGGATAAAACTCTAAAATCTGGAGCAAACGGAATCGCCGTACTGCTCCAACTTGCCGTCACACAACGACAAGTTGACAGTCAATCAATATGCACGCCAGCTGACTCCGATAACCGGCATGCATATGGCCGTTGTCCACGCCGACGTCCTCTGTAAAAGCTGACAGCAGCAGGGAAAGAAATCTCACAACGGGAACCGACGATAAAAGCACAGCAAGGCAAAACAGCAGCACTTCAGTTCACGTAGCTTGGCGCAAAACTAAGGCCCACACTTCCAAGTAAGCCGTGTCATAGAATGTAAGCCGAATAGCTCAGAGGAGGCTTCTATAGCTACGACCAGCCGCGATGGAGACTTTAGAGGCGTAACCCACAAACGATCTCTACCACACCGAGGAAGTCAGGTGACCAAAAAGGAGATCACAGGCAAGCGATGCAGAGACACTCAAATGGCCGCTATTTATACCAGCGCCCCCTAATGGGCCAGGCTGAAAGTGGGTTGGATCGAGGGATAACATTCATCCTGCCACACTACCATTAGCGTTTTGGCCCTGGAGCGCGCCGCTGCGTGCTGCCTTGTGCTTTTCCAACCCTGGGACACGGGCCCCGCCAGCGCGCTGCAGCGGCTGCTGGCGACAAAGAAAAACTGCTCTTCATAGAAGACTCGTGCTCCAGGAGATGTTTCCTGGTCGACTCCGGCTCCCAGAAGAGCCTCCTTCCCCCATCTGGCGCTGACAGTTTAGCAGCAGGCGGCAGACCGCAGCTTATTGCGGCTAATGGCTCTCCCATCGCAACATTCGGGGAACGGTTCGTGACTGTTTGTTTTCATGGTCGGGATTTCCAATGGACCTGTGTTGTTGCCGCTAGCTCTGTACCTATTTGGGGCGCCGATTTTCTTTGTGCCCACGGACTGCTGGTCGATGTCGCTAACAGACGCTTAATTAATGCCCTGTCTTTTTCTTCAATGTCCTGTTTCACTTGCACCATCGAGCCCCTGAATCGGGCTAATTTAGTGACTTCAGGGAATGTTTTTCAGCGTTTGCTCTTGGAGTTCCCTTCATTGACTGTTCCTAATTTCTCGAACATGGCAACGAAGCACGGGGTTGAACATTATATTCCGACGGTCGGTCCCCTGGTGTTCTCACGCACGCGCCGCCTCGACCCAGTGAAACTCTCCATTGCTCGGGAAGAGTTTGCCGCTATGGAGCGCCTCGGCATTGTGCAGCACTCGAATATGGTGCCCAAGTCAGACGGTCGGTGGCGGCCGTGTGGGGATTTTCGCCATTTGAATAATGTCACGGAGAACGACCATTACCCCATTCCCCACATTCAAGATTTTTCCGCCCACCTCGCTGGCACCTCGATTTTTTCTAAAATTGACTTGGTGCGGGGAATCACCAGGTTCCCGTGCGTGCCGAAGACGTCCCCCAAAACTGCCGTTATTACCCCTTTCGGCCGTCCAGACTTTTCAGCGGTTGATGGACTCTGCCTTGCGCGGGCTGCCTTTCGTCTTTGTGTACCTTGCCGATATATTGGTGGCCAGCTGTTCTGAGAGTCGGCACGCGTCCCATCTGCGTCAGGTTTTCCAGCGCTTGGCAGCACACGGCCTGATCGTCAACCCCTCCACGTGCCAGTTCGGCTTGCCGGTTCTGGATTTCTTGGGCCACCGCATTTCCGCTGATGGTGTGGTTCCGTTGCTGGACAAGGTCCGGGCCGTTACGGCTTTTCCGCGTCCCGCGTCCGTTAAAGCACTGCAGGAGTTCTTGGGGATGGTCAATTTCTACAACCGCTTTCTCCTCAGAGCTGCACACCTGCTAACAGCTAAGGAGCCGATTGATTGGCTCCCTGAACGCATCCAGGCATTTTCTGTGGCCAAGGCCGCGCTGGCAAACACCGCCCTGCCGGCCCACCCGTTTCCGTCGGCGGAGATTGCGTTGACCACCGATGCTTTGTGATGTTTCCACCGGCCGTCCACGCCCTGTAGTTCCCCTTTCGTGGCGTCGTCGCGTTTTCGACTCCGTACACGCCTTCTCTCATCCAGACGTCCGGGCCTCGGTCAAGCTGGTCAGTTCTAGGTTTGTTTGGCCAGGGCTTCGTAAATCGGGGAAAGACTGGGCAGCGGCATGCATCCCATGCCAACGCGCTAAGATCCATAGGCACACACAGGTGCCCCTCGAATCCTTCTGCATTCCAGGGAGGCATTTAGATCATGTGCATGTGGATCTGGTTGGTCCTCTGCCACAGTCACGAGGTTTCACGCACCTTTTGACTGTAGTGGACCGCACACTGCACACTGCAATATTTGTATGAGTGCCAGGTCTCTCTTGTGAACGAGGAACCGGGTCTCAATGAGACTACCTTGAAAACTAAAGGTTAAATTCCATCCATCCATTCGCTTTTGCTTATCCTTTTCAGGGTCGCGGGGGGCGCTGGAGCCTATCCCAGCTGTCATAGGGCAAGAGGCGGGGTACACCCTGGACAGGTCGCCAGCCTGTCACAGGGACAGACAACCACTTACACTCACATTCACTCCTAGTGGCAATTTGGATTATCCAATTAACCTATCCCCACAAGCTGCATGTCTTTGGACAGTGGGAGGAAGCCGGAGTACCCGGAGGGAACCCACGCAAACACGGGGAGAACATGCAAACTCCACACAGAAAGACCCCGACCTGATGTTGGAATTGAACTCAGGACCCTCTTGCTGTGCGGCAACAGTGCTAACCACCATGCCACCGTGCTGCCTAAAGGTTAAATTGAAAAAATAAAAAAAGAATATTCCAGTATACGTAAAACTGTCACCAGGGGTTTGATTTCTGTATTCTCCTTCACGTAAAGATGTCTTGGCATAAAAAATTTCCCCCAAAAAGCAGGAAATGAAGTGGCTGTTTCATGCACACTCCACTCAAAAATGCTTGACATGGCTGCAGAAACTTAAAGAGAAGACACAGTCACGATGGGGTGTGTGTATAAGAGGGTCCTCCACCAGCCTAAGCTCATAGTACCACAGCTCGTGGATCGTTCGGAGTCACCTGATCCAGCCTTAAATATGAGCTTTATGAACAAAAGAGAAGTTTGAAGCCTGGTCTTCAAAGTAGAGAGGGTACCTGTCTGAAGTCTCTACCTCCCAAAAGAAGAAAGCACGCTCCAGAGTTTGTGTCTTTTCCTTCAGTTAAAAAAAAAAAAAGACCTTAAAACCTCCAAATATCCCATGCCTCAGTAAATAAGGGGAAATTAAAGTGGTGACAAAAACAGAGAAGATGATGAATAAAACATCTGACCTGAAGCTGAATGTTCGATCAGATTGTCAGATCCGTTTCTGTAGGTTGAGGGGGGAAGGGGGGGGGGGCGCTGGGGGTAGCTCAGATCAATGTTAGCCAGAGTGTCTGAGAGCACACGGATCCTTTTGTTGACTCAAAAAAAAAAGAAGAAGAAAAAGCTTCTCGTTTGCTCTTTTTTTCTCTGCCTTTCATCTTCCATCTGGGCTTTGAGTATTGATTGAGTGAGTAGGGAGTCATTGACATCAAACCTGGCCACTGTCTTTTATTCATTCCAGTTTGACTGCAACACAGGATATCCTTCAGAAAGGACAGACTATCTATTATATATACCAGCAAATGCGAAAAATAGGTTTTCTTGTCAGAGACACCAATGGGCATTCTCTAAGTATGAAATTTCAACTACATAGAGCGAGTTTTTGAGCTCCAATACTTGAATAGATCAGCTACTGAATCTTCTTAGCACTGCACTTGAGTAGAGGATTTAATCAGTATCAGACAGCAGGCCAGCCTCAACACGTGCTTTTTCCATCTTTTGAAATAAAACAAGGTGGTGATGTATAAATATCCACAGAAGGAATGGTCAAGTTTCCTGCTGCTGCTTATTTTTAGCATTTGATACTGAAATGAATTGACTACACTTGTCTTTAGAAAACAGCACAACTTTTGTAAATCACCCGTAAAACTAACCACACCACGAGGGCTATTGAGGGATTACGCTCACACTCTGTGAGCTGACATCCTCTCAAACTGGTTTCTTGAACACGACAATGAGTTCACTGTACTCAGATGGCCTCCACAGTCAACTAAAAACAGCACCTTTCATCAGATGTCGAGACAGCGATAATGCAAAGTGGATAGCTTCAAAGTTTAACTGGTTTATGTATGTGCACAGGAGGAGATGCCAGCGGGGAGAGTTCCAGGAGAAGGAACAGGTTACTGGGAGAGGAGTCACTGAGAAAGAGGAGAGTCCACAAACAGAAGTTCCACAGACATTTTTGAAAGGCTGATTTGTAAGGTGAATGAAGTAGATTACTTTGATACTCAAAGGTGGGCCTGCATTGCGTTGGCCGTCTCACCGTCGTGGACACGCAGGTGAGATGATGCAGGGAGGTCCCTCAGCGAGGGACTTAATGAGGAACAGAACAGCTCCACAGAAACAGGTAAATAGTACTGAGGAAGGAGCTCCTCTTTGGCTACTCGGGATGCACTGGGAACCAAAAACGTTAGAGTAGAGGAGCCCGAAGGAGCCTGATTACCACTCTAAAGGGGTAGATAATCAGGTCTACACTGGGTGCAGAAGCTGGTCCTTGAGTATTGGTGAATGATGAGACAGATGAGAAACCAAACGCAGACGTGCAACTGCCGAACCCAGTCTAGACTCAGGGAGAGTTGGAAGACCTAAAACAGACCAGTGCAGGACTGTGACACCTTTGGGGTCATCATGAACACGCAGCCTATAGCTCATCATGTCAACATGGACCAAAATCTCTCAGGAATGTCTCATGGAGCTTGTTGAATCTGTAGCATAAAGCAGTAAGACAATTATGAAGGTAAAGTACTACCAAGGTGCGCCTAACACAACTGGTTTCATGTTCAGCCATTCTGAAAAGAAAGTTCAAAGCACTCGCTGCACATCATCAGCTACGGCCACCTCGCTTAATATAAAATGAAAAGAGTGCATTCAAGGTCATCACGAACAAAAGCCGCTCCTCAGTCAGAACACTGACTCAGACACCCTTCTCCAGATGTTTGCCGTGACGTTCCGTCAGCTCGATGAATTTCCTGTGCGTGCGCGTCTTCATTAGGCTCTGGGGTTAAACTTTAACCAATCAAATTGCTCCGCTAATTGTGAGCGTTATTGGAGGATTGATTATAATTAGAGCTGCTTGATGGGAAGTTAATATCCGTCAATTATGCAAGAGATAACGGAATAACAAAGATGAAACGGCGCTCATCGTCGTTCCCTGCTGATGATTTGTTTGGAGCGGAGGATGGCAGAGACTCCAGCCTGGCCTCAATCTGTCTTCAAGAAGAAATACATTTGAATATTAAATACTTTTTTAAAAGAGCTCCTTCTCTCCTGGGAGGGCTGCCTTAACAATGTGTGCTCGTTTAAACAGTCTATTATACAACGGCTAACATTTATACAGAGAGCGGCCAAGAAAGGTGAGTCTTTTTAGCAAGGTTTAATCTACTTAAGGCTTACGCGTGCGTGATTCTTTTGTCATTTAAGTTCTGTAAAAAATG